CTTTTGTCCATCTGTTCTCTGTTGTGTGATCCCAATCCAGATGATCCCTTAGTGCCTGAGATTGCTCGGATCTACAAAACAGATAGAGAAAAGTAAGTATGGCCTGTAGATAGAAAGGTCTCTGTGATAGGATAAAGATGTTATATAAAATCTTCCTTATCTAAGGGCTAAATATGGGCCACATATTTAAAATGAACTACTAAATACTGTCCAAGAGATAGGAGTATTTACATGAAGTATCATAGGTGATACTAATTTTATCTCTTGTTTCATATGACTTTCACTGTCTAGGAACACTCACGTACAGCACATTTACAACAGCTTTGTGTTTTATGCTTGGCCTTTAACACAAAGCATTTAAAATCAAAATACCCTTTTGTCTTCCCTAAGTATTTATAAGTTAATGAGAGAGGGGAATACCATTTTACATAATCTAAAGGAGGAAAATGAATAAATTCCATTAGACATGAAAGCCCCAAATTTCTTCTGTAACAAAACGATGTGGAACTTAGATATTTTAGTATTTTAGAATACTATGAATTATTAAAGAATAATCAGGATAGTAACTGGGCTCCTGTGGTTTATGTCGGTAATCCTTAATCCTAGCTACTCAGGAGGCTGAGATCTAAGGATCGGGGTTCAAAACCAGCCCAGGTGGGAAAGCCCATGAGACTCTTATCTCCAATTAACTGCCAAAAAGCCAAGTTGTGGTTCAAGTTGTAGAGTGCTAGCCTTCAGAAAAAGAGTTGAGGGCTAGCACCCAGGCCCTGAGTTCAAGCCCTAGGACTGGCACACTAAAAAAGAGTAAGAAAGAAGTTCTAACAATTACTTACGTGTTCCATGAGATTATAGGAGGGATTATGTCTTAGAGGTGGGCTTTCCAAGCACTGGTGGCTCACACATGTAATCCTAGCTACTCAGGAGGCTGAGATCCAAGGATTGCAGTTCAAAAAGAGCCCAGGCAAGAAAGTCTGTGATTCTTATCTCCAATTAACACGAGAAAACTAGAAGTGGCACTGTGGTTCAGAGTGGTAGAGTGCTAGCACCTGCGCCCCCAGTTTAAGCCCTACAACAACCAAAAAGAAATAGGCTTTTTCTTTTTCTTTTTCTTTTTTTTTTTTAATGGAACTACACCCGGAATGGAGATTCTAATAGCAGTTGCTTCTACTTAAGTTTTGATTGTGTTTATGTCTGAATAGCATCTATGGTCCTGTATTTCTTGCTGAAATTTTTATTTTTATTTTAAAAAATTGCTTTTAGTCTTTTAGTGTTATTATAAAGGTGATATGCAGAGGAAAAAAGTGTGTGTGTGTGTGGTTGTGTGTGTGTGTGTGTGTGTGTGTGTGTGTGTTCCCAAGAATCATTTATTGAACATTGCTATCTAAAGTGTGTTTTATTGCAGCCAGTTCAGATGGATTGGATAAGTGTCTGGGGGAAAAAAAAATTCATAAAGAAGATCAAGCACACACGTTTGTTCTCCAAAAAACGTTCTTGCTGAAATGAAAATACCTTTACTTGCACAACACAGCAAAGGGGTGGAGGAATAAAAGGAAAACCAAACTTAGAAACAAATTTGAAGAGTTTGCTTTGTCAATCTTAGCTGCTCAGGAGGCATAGATCTGAGGATCACAATTTATAAAATTAGTCTTAATTTGAAAAAACTTTTTTTTTTTTTTTTTGCCAGTCCTGGAGCTTGAACTCAGGGCCTGGGCACTGTCCCTGAGCTTCTTTTGCACAAGGCTAGCACTCTACCACTTGAGCCACAGCACTACTTCTGGCTTTTTCTGTTTATGTGGTACTGAGGAATTGAACCCAGGGCTTCATGTATGCTAAGCAAGCACTCTACCACTAAGCCACATTCCCAGCCTTTGATTAAAATTTTTTGATGGGAAACCATTTCATCTAGTATATAATAATTGTGGATATGAATGCTATTAGAAGGCATAACTTAAATCATTGTAGTAATAATATGGTAGTCAGTAGAACTTTTACATTGCCTGTTTTGTTAACATTGTTCTGATATCTTTGTTTTTGTTTTGTTTTTGAGAAGTATCTCTCATTATGTTGACCCTGAGCTCAAATATTTCTCCTGTCTCAGCCTCTCCAGTAGATAGAACTATAGACATATACCATCATGCCCAAATGTGTATCCTTTCTTCCCCCTCTACCCTTACTTTTAAGTCTTTTTTTTTTTTTTTGCTAATTTTAGTACTGAAATGTTCTTCACCAGCATTCATCTTGTCAAGCAAATTGTTGAAATAAGTCAGAACCAGTTGTATTGTTACAAAAGGAAGTGTTAACATTCATTAGTTAATTTAATGAGGCATACTTATAATCTCAGCCTTAGGAGGCTGAAATAGAGGAATTTCTAGTTTGAGGCTACCCTTGGCTACATAATGAGACCCTATTTCTCCCTTCCCCCACAAAAAATACACACACATGCATATGCCTCAAATGAAGAGTTACAAATCAAGTGTGTACAAAGGTGTGTGTTAGCAAATGTGGTTATATGAAATTGTTTTCCATAGTACAGCACGTCCTGCCGTCACTGAGTGTAGCTGTCTTACTGATATGAGGTATAAAAGTGACTTTGCTTGACTGTCCTAGAAATTGTTGTCCTGAAGTTACTAGATGGGAGAATGAGTGCAATCTGTTGATTATTGACTCCTTACCTATGTTAAGCCAAGCTTCTCTTTGTATGTACAGGTACAACAGAATAGCTCGGGAATGGACTCAGAAGTATGCGATGTAATTAAAGAAATTATTGGATAACCTCTACAAATAAAGATAGGGGAACTCTGAAAGAGAAAGTCCTTTTGATTTCCATTTGACTGCTTTCTATGAGCCCACGCCTCATCTTCCCCTGTGCACATGTTTACCTGATAAAACAGCAGTGCTGCGTGTTGTACATACTTGGAACAACAAACTAGAGATACTGTACTTCTGTACCAACATTGCCTCCTAGCAGAGAAGTATGTGTGTGAAAAGCCAATCTTCCAGGCGTAACCTAGGTGTGAGACAAAAAACTTCACTTATTGGCAGAAATTTGGATAACGGCAAGGTGCGAGGGATGGTGGGCACATGGTGTGTACTTGGATGGGGGAAAGCTCCACTGGCCTGTAGGAAATTGTTTTTAAGTGGAATCCATTTAAAATCAAAACCGTTATGAACAGCAAGGTGAAGAACATGAAGTTTTTTCTGTATTCATTTTCTTCGAAGGACCTACAACTTAGGTGAAAGTTATGACCAACCAGATTAAACTACCCACATCCTGTATTCTAAGGTCTAAGTTTAACTGGTCGACATTTAAATGGATTGGAGCTATTAGTACAAAAAGTGTGATGGGCTTTGTTTCCAACTCTTTTACATTTCCCTACCCTTTCAGTCTTTCATCCTCCCTCTCCCTCTCTCTCTCTCTCTCTCTTTCTCTTTTTTTCTCTCTCTTTTTCTTTCTCTCTCTTTCCATATTCTTTGGTTTGTATGTGGTTTCTCAGTTAATACATAGCTAATAGCTCTTATTTTTCTTATGTTTTTAACTGCTTAGGTCTATTTGGATGTAAGGGTGAAAATTCATTTGATGGAAATACTTGTGTATATTTAAAGACCCAATTGCTCCTCTGGAGCTTGTACGTTCAAGAATGATTAATCTGTGTAATAAACTGATTACTACAGTCATTACATATAATTTTGTGTGAATAGGCTTTTTGATTTTAAGAACTTTGTCTAACTGAGATTAGTGGTGGGTGTTCCCTCACCCCTGAAATGTTTTCATTTATACTGGTTGCATTTTAAAATCATGAAACAATTGCAGTTTACATAGTTGAAAAAAAATACCTTGAGTAATTTTACTGAACAAGATAAAAGGCATCAGCTTAAAGGCATTTTTGTGAAATGTGTATGTGCAGCATTCCAGGAACATGACTGTTACACTAAATAAGAAATTTGCTTTGTTAATGAAACTAAGCTGCATCTCACCAAAACCTTGTGACATTCCCTTGGTACATAGAACATAAAACACGAAGGCATTGCTATTTGGTAAGTGAAGCCTCTGTGACTGTAATTATATAGAGCAACTCTGACCAAACTTGGGAACATGAGCACAATCTTGTATTGGAGAGTCTACGTAATTACTTTGCACTAACATTTGCAGGATGTTCATCCAATTTTAAATTGTACTGTATGTGGCTTTTTAAAGTCTTCCCTTGACTCTAGTAAAATGTAGTTTGAAACTTGTATACTGTGTTTGCCAGAAACATCATTCATGTGAACTAGGCAAGTTATCCCCATTCCCCTTCTTTACCTAATCTATAATTGTAAACCAGGCCAGCCTGAAGGCCATGGCTGATGCTCTCTAGCCATCAGATTCTTTAAAATGCATCTTTACACTCTTGCACAAAAATTGAGGAATAAATATCCACTGCTTTTGTTCACTTGTTCACCTTGTCTCATCTCTCAGTGTCACTGCTCCTTTATCTCAGAACCTACCTATGATATCAGTTGAAAACCCTTTAAAGTTCTGTGATTTTTAGCTATTGGCTGCTTAAAAGCATTTCAAGGATGACTATTAACATCCTTGACCTTGCAGATGAAGTTTGACAATTAGGATGAAAAGTTAGAATTGAGCTCAAAATAATCCTGTGTTCTTCCTATCATGGGCAGTGGGAAATTCAGTCTGTGCATGTGTGTATGGGTTGGTTGGGTTGATGTTTTTTTTTTCCTTTCCCCAGTGATACAGATCAGACCCAGGCCCTTACATATCCACAAGTCAAGTGCTCTCTCACTGAGCTGCATCCTAGTTCGAACTCAGTATTGTGGTTTGGTTTGGTTTTTATGTCAGTCATGGGGCTTGACCTCTTGGTCTGGGCACTGCCCTGAGCTCTTCAGCTCCACTTCTGGTTTTCTGGTGGTTAATTGGAGTTAAGGGTCTCATGGACTTTCCTGCCTGGGCTGACTCTGAACCACAATCCTCAGATCTCAGCTTCCTGAGTAGCTAGGATTACAAGCAGGAACCACTAACAGGGCCTGCCTATTGCACAAATCTTGAAAGCTCATTTTTATTTGTCGTCTTAGTGACCAGATTACTACCATTTGTTAGGTGGTATATAGATATTTTTCAAAACAATGCTTTTAAGTATTGTGCTAAATAAATAAAAGCTGCCATGCTAGTGTACAAGTGCCACATAAAAGGTTTGTATGGTCACAAAAAGTATTAAGTCCTTGAATCCAATTTAGTCTTAACCAATTGAATAGGAAGCATTGAAAGGATTCTTTACATCCATCCCAGGAGATTCTCCCCACCCCACCCCCTTTCTGGAGGCAAGCAGACACAGGAGAAAGATTATTATAAGGTTTATTAGAGGGGGCATATTTCCCAGGAGAGGGAGGGAGGGAGCACATGTCATCCATCCCTATCCAGGAAGCAGGAGGGTCTGTAGGCAGGAAGTGAGTTAGGTGCATCCTCAGGCGGGTGGAGAGGGAGTGGCGGCTGCGTGGTGGGAACTATAGGACTGGGAGAGGTCAGTTTTGGGTAGAGCTGAGGACCAAAGTTGGGCACAATGCTAACATTTCCCCACTTTGTTGTTTAATAAAAATAGGGGTGCCCTGCCAGGGATATGGGCAGAGGTCGTTTCTTCTGGAGCTACTTCTTGATCCTCTATGACAATAGTTATCTAAAATGCAAGACATTAATAAAAGGCAAAAATTGCTCTTAGTAGCCCAGAGGGGCTATCAGGCCTGAGACTGCCTTTTCTGTCTCAGAGACAGCACCGTTCCTGACTCCCCACATCCTGGAGGGGAGGGGTGCAAAACTTCCTGCTTCAGGATTACAGTAACCTGAGGAAGAGGTAGCAGATATTTAAAGGTACCAGGGCTAGCAGGTGTCATAGGCTCGTTTAGCTACTTCCTGCTGGCCTGGGAGCATCGACGAGTCCCTGGAGCTGGGGTCTTTAGGGTCCAGTTTGCATTGGGCAACACAGGGCAGAGTAAGTGATGTCTCTGGTTGCTTGTAGTAACAGGATGGCCATGACATGTTCCCAGGCAATGTCCTGGGGGCTGTTATCCTGTTAACAAACTTTTGGAAAGGCCAGGCAAAAAAACCTGACGAGGTGACAAGGTCAGTTAACATGTATGACATAGGAAAACATACACTGGCCATGGGCCAGAAAAATTCCATTTGGTGCATAAGCCCAGTTGTAGCTCATTACAGGGAAGGAAGAATAACTGAAAGTGGGGCAGGAAGGGGGTGCTAGGGTCTTTTTGCCAACTGGGTAGGGGAGAGCATAATGGACTGGTTGGGAGTAACCAGTCAGAGGCTACCATAAATACAAATAGCAGGTAACAAACAAGACTTTCTGTCCAGTTAGGAGGTAAACAGGTATGGACATTAGGTGGGCAAACAATTTCTCTTGATCTCCCAGCTCTGATTAATTTTGGATTTTTTTCTTTTTTTGGGTCCGGTTGTGGGGCCTGAACTCTGGGCCTGGGCGCTGTCCTCAGCTCTTCAGCTCAAGGCTAGCACTCTACCAATTGAGCCACAGCTCCACTTCTGGCTTTTTTCTTATGTGGTGCTGAGGAATCGAACCCAGGGCCCCGCGCATGCAAGGCAAGTGCTCTACCACTGAGCCATCTTCCCAGCCCCTAACCAGCTCTGATTAATTTTGAAAGAGCAAGTGTAAAGTGATTCCATTTAGGATGTTATTTCCTCTTACTCCTCTCCGCAGTTTTTTGTTGTCAGGACTGACTTCATGCGAGGGGGCAGGGGGAAAGGAGTCTTAGTATCTCCCAGTTGGCATTCACAGGGTATGAACTCAAGGCTTGGGCACTGTCCCTGAGCACTTCTGCTTGAGGCTAGTGCTCTACCACTTAAGAGTCACAATGCCAGTTACAGGTGATACTTAAGAGGTGAGAGTCTCTTGACCCATGCCTCCAGCCTGGCTCTTTGCTGATTAGTGGGGAGATGGAGTTTTAGAGGGATTCTTTGTGCCCAAGCTGGCTTTGAACTGTAGAAAGGAGTCTTTGTTACAAAAGCCCTTTTTATTTCCAATTAAAGTATCATGGAGATCAATGGAGATAGAAATTACCTATAACTTAACAACTGACTAACAATTACTTGCCAGAGTTTTGTAATAACAAAACCACAGTAGATGTTTTTAAACTGCAGCTGATTGGCACACTAAGTACCGCCCATTGCCTCTGGGCAGCCTGTTTAAAATGGCTTATATACAACATGTAACTTTTAACAAACCTGCAGACCGTTTATTGGACTACAGCAGTGTAGCCTGTTAAGCACTCTGGTTTACAGAAGCATCTTTTCTGGCTGGCTGAGGAACCTGATCTGTAGTCACCCCACAAATGCTTACCTGTGTAGGCCTTTAGCGAGATCTCAATAAGGACATAATCTCAGGTCCTCAAACTTTCTTTCCTTAGCAGATGAATTTATGTGGCTGTGCCAGCTCAAAAGTCACTGCCAATTAGGACTTTGAGCAGCAGATACAGGAGGTTTGGGATTTATATCATCCCTCACATTTTACAACCTTAGCTTATACTACCCACTATCACTGATGACTGCCAAGTTCTCTGCCCAGTTATGAGGTAGATAGACATGAGTATTAGAAAGGCTGACAAGCCTTTTAGTTGTATACATGGGTCTTTTCCAGAATTAAGGCTCTATGAGGAAAGCCTACTAAAAGAAAAATAACATTCAGGGTGGTTCTCACCTAGGATCACACAGATCATCTTTCCGGGAGATTCTCTGTCTTTATCATATGTAAAGCTAGTTTAAAGCAAATCTTGATAACTCCTGTAGTAGTTAGAAAGGAATGTTGAAGTTTCCTTTTGTTTGCTTACTTAGTTGCTCCTTTTTTATCCTCTCCCCCCTCCCTCCATGGGGCTTGAACTCTGGACCTGGGCACCATCCCTCAGCTCTTCAGCTCAAGGTGAGTGTTGTACCACTTGAGCCGCAGCACCACTTCCAGTTTTCTGTGGTTAATTGGAGAATAAGAGTCTCTCAGATCTTTCTGCCTGGGCAGGCTTTGAACCGCAATCTCAGGTCTCAACCTCCTAAGTAGCTTGGATTACAGGCATGCGCCACACTGGTACCGGGCTTCTTTCTTTAAGTAATAGCTTGGGTCCTTTTTGAAGTTATAATGGGAGCGACCTCTTTTGATCAGTTTCAGGTATTTGCATGCTCTGCTGTTGGCCAGTATTAGTTAACAGGAGCATTGTCCTGCCAGTTTGTACAAAGATTTGGGGCAGGCATAAGGGTGTATGGGGAGAGGAAAATATGGTCAGAAAGAGAAAGAAACTTTCTCTGCACTGTCCTGACCTAGCAAAAAGCAGAAACTTTTGGAATTTCCTACTTCCAACTGCTGACTTTCTGAGTCATTTATTTTGTGTTGTTTTTTTTTGGGTCTGGTCGTGGGCCCTGAACTCTGGGCCTGGGCGCTGTCCCTCAGCTCTTCAGCTCAAGGCTAGCGCTCTACCACTTGAGCCACAGCGCCACTTCCGGCTTTTTTCTTTTTTCTTATGTGGTGCTGAGGAATCGAACCCAGGGCCTCAGGCATGCAAGGCAAGCACTCTACCACTGAGCCACCTTCCCAGCCCTGAGTCATTTATTTTGAACTCTAGATAAATTGTCAGTAGAAATGGGTTATTTCTGAATTACATTTACAATGCCTTTCCTTGTATGTAGTAAAAGTGAAATTCAGACTATCTCTGTTGTATAGTACCTCAATGCTTAGAGGAGGTTTTTGTTGGCCAAGTTTTTTTTTTTTTAGGGGGAGGGGATGTACTAGAATTTGAACTCAGACTTGTCTTTGCACAGTTTGTTTTTACATTAGTGCTCTACCACTTGAGCTGTGCCTCTAGCCTGGCTTCTGACTGGGGATTGGAGATCTTGGGGTGGGGTTTATTTTGTGGGAGTAGGGGGTCTTTGTATATGTTTGCAACAAGGCTTTAACTCAGGCTGGTACTCTACCACTTGGGCCATACCTTTTCTTCTGGCTTTTTGCTGATTAATTAGAGATGAGAGTTTAGATTTCCTAGCTGGGCTTTGGATCTTTTTCTTTAGATCTCAGCCTTCTAAGTAGCTAGCATTACAGGAGCCAATGCCCACCTTTTCATTTGGCTTTCTTGTTTGTGACTGGCACTCAACATTCTAGCATTTTGCTGGCTCATTGGAAATGGAATCTCTTAGAGTTTCTGCCCTGGCTAGTTTAGAACTGGATCTCAGACTCCTGTGTAGCTGTGGAATGAGCCACCAAGTTCTGGCTGCCTGTAAGATTTGCTCCCTCATTCTCTCTCTCTCTCTCCCCCTTCCTTCCTTCCTTCCTTCCTTCCTTCCCTCTTTCTCTTTTCTTTTTCTTTCTTTCTCTGTGTCTGTGTGTGTGTGTGTGTAACTAGTGCTGTTACTGAGGCTTGAACTCAGGCCTTA